TTCCCTTTATTATGCTTCACAGGTTTTTTGTGTTTGGTATTTTTATATCTGGAAACATTTTTATTTCTCCTTTATTTTTCAAAGACATATTTCCAGGGTCTAGATTTCTAGGTTGAAAGTTTTTCCTTTCAATACATGTATGCCTTGTTTTATTTCACTTAGCTTATTTCACTTGGCAAATATTATGTTTTTTACAAATTAAAGGATTGTGGAAGCTCCACATCCAGCAAATCTTTTGGTGTCATTTTTCTAACAGCATGTAGTCACTTTGTATCTCAGTATCACCTTTTGGTAATTCTTGCAATATTTCAAACCTCTTCATTATTACATGTGTCACAGTGATCAGTGACCTTTGATGTTATTAATACAATTGAAATTGTTTGATGTTACCATGAACCACATCCATTTAAGATGGCAAACCTAATCAATAAATGTTGTGTGTGTTCTGACTGTGCCACCATCCAGCTCTCCCTCTCCTCAAGTCTCCCTACTCTGTGAGACACAATAATACTGAAATTAATAACCCTACAATGGCCTCTAATGAAGGGTTCAAGCGAAAGGAAGAATCATACATCTCTCACTTTAGATCAAAGCTAGAAACGACTAAGCTCAGTGAGGAAAGGATGTTGTATGATAAGAAAGCAAAACAGCCTTCTTGCTGATATGGATAAAGTTCTAGTGGTGTGGATAGAACATCACACCAGGTGCAATACTTCCTTAAGCCAAAATCTAATCCAGAGCAAGGCCCTAACTATCTTCAATTCTGTGAAGGCTGAGAGAGATGAGGAAGCTGCAGAAGAAAAGTCTGAAGCTTAGCAGAGGCTGGTTCGTGAGGTTTAAGGAAAGAAACCATCTCCAGAACATCAAAGAGCAAGGTGAAGCAGCAAGTGCCAATGTAGAAGCTGCAGCAAGTTATCCAGAAGATCTAGCTAAGATAAGTGAAGAAGGTGGCCACATTAAACGAAAGATTTTCAGTGGGGAGGAAACAGCCTTGTACTGGAAGAAAATGGCATTTGGACATCTGTATCTAGAGATGAGAAGTCAGTGCCTGGCTTCAAAGCTTCACAGGACAGGCTGACTCTCTAGGTAGGCACTAATGCAGCTGGTGACCGTAAGTTGAAGCCAGCACTCATCTACCATTCCAAAAGCCCTAGGGCCTTTGAGAATTATGCTAAATCTACTGTGCCTGTACTCTGAAATAAAACAACAAATGTGCTAGATGACAGCACTTCTGTTTACAGTATGGTTTACTTACTGTTATTTTAAGTGCACTGTTGAGACCTACTGCTCAGAAGAAAAGATTCCTTTCAAAATATTACTGCTTATTGACAATGCGTCTGGTCACCCATGAGCTCAGATGGAGATGTACAAGATTAATGTTGTTTTCATGCCTGCTAACACATCTATTCTGCAGCCCATGGATCAAGGAATCGTTTTAACTTTCAGTTCCTCCTATTTAAGAAATACATTTTGGGCTGGGCGAGGTGGCTCACGCCTGTAATCCTAGCACTCTGGGAGGCCAAGGCGGGCGGATTGCTCGAGGTCAGGAGTTTGAAACCAGCCTGAGCAAGAGTGACACCCCGTTTCTACTATAAATAGAAAGAAATTAATTGCCCAACTAATATATATAGAAAAAATTAGCCGGGCATGGTGGCGCATGCCTGTAGTCCCAGCTACTCAGGAGGCTGAGGCAGCAGGATTGCTTGAGTCCAGGAGTTTGAGGTTGCTGTGAGCTAGGCTGACGCCGCCGTGGCACTCACTCTAGCCTGGGCAACAAAGCGAGACTCTGTCTCAAAAACAAAACAAAACAAAACAAAAACAAAAATAAAAGAAATACATTTTGTAAGAGCGTAGCTGCCACACACAGTGACTGATTCTTCTGATGGATCCAGGCAAAGCAAACTGAAACCCTTCTGTAGAGGATTCATCATTCTAGATGCCATTACGAACATTTGTGATTCATGGGAATTGGTCAAAATACCAACATTTCAACAGGAGTTTGGAAGAAGTTAATTGCAGCCCTCATGGATGACTCTGAGGGGTTCAAGACGTCAGTGAAGGAAACTGCAGATGTGGTGGAAGAGCAAGAGAACTAGAATTAGAAGTGGAGCCTGAAGGTGTGAGTGAATTTCTGCAATCGCATGAGAAAACCTGAATGGATGAGGAGCTGCTTATTGGCAAAGAAAGCAGTTTCTTGAGATGGAATATACTTCTGGTGAAGATGCCGAGAACATTGTTGAAAGGACAACAAAGGATTTAGAATATTACACGAACTCAGTTGACAAAACAGCAACAGGGATTGAGAGGACTAACTTCAGTTTTGAAAGAAGTTCTACTGTGAGTAAAATGCTACCAAACAGCGTTGCATGCTACAGAGAAATCTCTTGTGAAAGGAAGAGTCAATCAGTGCGGCAAACTTCACTGTTGTCTTATTTTAAGAAACTGCCACAGCCACCTCAACCACCACCCTGATCAGTCAGCAGCCATCAACGTGGAGGCAAACCCTCCACCAGCAAAAAGATCACAACTCGCTAAAGGGTCAGAAAATCATTAGCATTTTTTAGCAATAAAGTATTTTTAAATTAAGACATGTACTTTTTTTTAGACATAATGGGATAGCACACTTAAGAGACTACAGTATAGTATAAACATAACTTTATATGTACTACAAAACTAAAAATTAGTGTGCCTCACTTCATTCACTTTATTGCGGTGGTCTGAAACTGAATCCTCTGAAACTGAATCCGTAATATCTCCAAGGTATGTCTGTACATATTAATATATTTATAGACAAAGTAAATGTGGCAAGATAGCAACAAATGTTGCATCTAGAGGGTGATCATATGGGTGTTTACTATAACAAATTTTCTATATGCTTGAAATTGTTTCATAATAAAAAGTTGGGGTGGATGCTAGAGAGCTCCAATTGTACAAGAAAAAAAAATCAACCTGAAACCAAAGCTGTAGGAAACATAGAGTAACAAACGTAACTTCGTTTTAATACAGCATCTATTAAATGTAGTTTACCCCTTTGGGAGCAATAAAGCTAACTAGAAACAAAAGTTCCACCTAAATCATTGCTTTAAATATTCAATCTATAATGTAACCTTATCTTATTTAAGATAAGCCTGTAACAGCTAGTTCTCTCAAAACAGACACATGGAGGAGTATGCCTTCATAACCTTTCTATAAAGATATCATATTCAACATAATTCAACAAGAGTCAACTGATTTTAACCAAACAACAAATCAATCTGTGAATCACCAACAGGATAATGCTGTAATTTGACCTTTTCTGCACGGATATTACAAAGACATTCAATTACAAATTTTCTTCAGCCTGACAATATACTAACAAAATTATAGAGTACTATAACTGGGCATCAATAAATTTCTTAAACATTTGCAACTATGCCTGAAGCTTCAATTACTCAATGAAATTTATCAACATTTTCTTCTGTAAAGTGCTCTGGCTCTTTATTTTTTCAATAATCATAGTTTAAAAAAATAGTATAGGCCAATATTAAAACGAGACTTTTCAGTTAGCTTATAAACACTGCTTGGTAAAACTCCACATAATTGAAAAAAAATCACATCAAAAGATAACTTTCTACAATATTCTACACATTAAATTTTGACATTGAGCTCAGAAATACTGCATAAGACAATGCATAAATTACTAAGTGTGTTGACAGTGCCACAGAATCCTGCAACAAATTTTGCAGTAAGGAAATCTCAAGCAAATAACCCAACTGCAAGTTCCCTGTATGCATCAAGAACTACAATAAGGCCAGGAGCGGTGGCTCTCGTCTGTAATCCTAGCACTCTGGGAGGCCAAGGCGGGCGGATTGCTCGAGGTCAGGAGTTCGAAACCAGCCTGAGCAAGAGTGACACCCCGTCTCTACTATAAATAGAAAGAAATTAATTGCCCAACTTATATAGAAAAAATTAGCCGGGCATGGTGGCGCATGCCTGTAGTCCCAGCTACTCGGGAGGCTGAGGCAGCAGGATCACTGAGCCCAGGAGATTGAGGTTGCTGTGAGCCAGGCTTATGCCACGGCACTCACTCTAGCCTGGGCAAAAAAGTGAGACTCTGTCTCCAAAAAAGAACTACAATAAAAAAAATCGTAAGTTTTCAAGATATGTGCATTTTTACCAAATATATTTCTTCTTTTTTTGTACGGGGAAATTTTTTCTGTCCAGTCCTACTACTTAAAGAGTAAAGGTGCCTGGAGCTATTTTTTAAAGGCAATTTCTTTAAAAAGCCAAGAAAATGACTAGACTGCAGCAAAACACATCAAACAGCCTATGTTACGGAAAAGTAAACTGTATCTACAAATGTGTTTAGAATGTACCCCTAAGAAGAAAGTGTCCAGCTAGTTCCATTTTCCTCACATATTTTTGCAAGATGTAGAAATACAGTCCTACAAAAACACATCTGCATATTTGAATCAAGCCTTACTAGCTGCATGACCTTGGACAAATGTCTTCAGCTGAGCCTCAATTTTCCATGTGTAAAACGGGGAGCCACCGTACCCTCCTCACTGGGCTGGGAAGATGAAACGAGATAATACACGACAACTGCTCAGAGCAGAGTAGCAGAGTAAAAGCACAGTAAATACTAACTGAATGCTCCGTGAAGAGAGAAGGGGAAAACAATCTAATCCATAGATTATCACATACTGCCGGTGCAAGGACAAGCACTTTTTCACTTACTAAATGTAATATTTCTGCTTTATCCCAAGGACCAGCTGCAACCCTCCTTCTAAAATCCCTGCAGAGCATGTGTCTGACAGCTACACAGCCCAGCCGCCTACTTCTCGCCGACCTGGGCGTCGGGATGGGATGCAGGGGCCCCGAGGTCCACCCTGCAGGAGTCGGGCAATAACCCAAAGAAATCTCCGGCTCCCGAGCAACGCACAGGCCGCCGCCACCCCCTCCCCGCGGTGCCCGGTCCCCCCACCCCCAACACACACACGCCCGCGCGCGCGCGCACGTACCGGCCGTTCCGCGGGGACGTAGAGGGCCACAGGCCCGAGGAGCGGCCGCCGCCGCCGAGCCCGCCCCTCCGTCCCCGCGCGGCCTGTCACCCGGGCCCTGGTCGGGGGAGACCGCGGGGTCCCCGGGGGCCGGAGGGGCGCGCGAGGAGTCGGGCGCCGGCCGGCGGGGCAGGCCCGTCCCTCCTTCACATGGAGCCCGGGCCGGGCGGGGTGGTGGGCGCGTGGGCCGTCGCGGCCGGCCGGGTCTTCTGGGCGCCCTCGGTGCTTCTCGCCGCCGCGGCCCTGAGGCCCGCGGGGAGCAGGGCAGGAAAAGGAGGAAGCCGCGGGCCGGCGCCGCCAGAGACCAGCGAAGAGGCGGCAGCGGCGACTGCGCGGTGGCGGCACCGGGCGTTCGCGTCGTCGTCCTCGTCGCCGCCGTGGGCCGTGCGACCCCCTGGAGGCTGCGTCCAGCGGCCGCGACACCTTCACCAGGCGCCGCCGCGGAGGGCAGCCCGGCCGCCACTACACACGCACCCGTGACGTCGGGCGTAGCGCGGCGCACGTCACGGCTGCTCACTCGTGCGCGCGGCCGTCCGCCCGCCGGGAACGGAACCCGCCGCGGGGGCGCGCCCGGCCGGGAAAAGCGTGCCTGCGCCTGCGCAGTACCGCTGCGCCCACGCACGCCCGGCCCCGCCCGCCGAGCGGCGCGGGGATTCCCAGTCGGCTCGGCCCGGCGCGGCGCCGCCCGGTCTCCACGCAGGCTACGCTGTCCGAGTGCGCCGCGCGCGCACCTGGCCCGGCGCGCTTGCGGAGTGCGCGGTCCCGGACGTCCGAGCGGAAGGCCGGCCGGACTGCGGGAGGGGCGGCGACCGGCGCCCAGTCATGGCAAGTCGTTTGTAAGGCGAAAAGCCATCTGTTTCTTAATTTGTGCATCCAGTTTCAGTCTGTTTTTCTAAAGGATTTTGGAAATTACTGTAGGTTTGCCACCTAGCCTTAAACCGCCACCTCCCTGGCGACTGGCTACGTTTTCTGTTTAGTTCTTATCGCCATCGACCAATGGTTGTATACATCGGTGGGCCCAGAAAGTATTGCTTGTCCAGTTTAATAGATGCGTTGACACCGCACCCGCAAAGCTCATGGCAGAGTAAAACCTCAATCCCTTTCACAAATCCTTTGCTCCCCACTGCCCACAGGATAAAATGCAAATCAACCAAGCTAGAATGGGAGGCCCTCTGTGGTGTAAGTAACCTGCATTCCGAGGTTTTTACCCTGGGCTATTCTCACCCATTCAGGTTTTTACTCTGGGTTATTCTGACCCATTCCCACCCTATGTTTTCGCCTTTCCTGAAATACTCCTTACAGCTCCTGTACCAATTTTCTCTGTTCAACCTATGCTTGATTTCTGGTTACATTCTGGATCCCACCCCTTCCTTCACATTCCAGGCACATTTCCACTCCAGCACTTGGAATAGGAAAGATGGGTGTGGCGCCCACTGGGCCCATAAGTAAGGACCTGCCCCAGCTGGGGTGCCCTATGGCCGAGCAGTCATGGGAGCTGGCGCCTGAGGGGCAGGGACTGAGGGAGAAGGTTTTGTGTAATATCAAAATATCTGGGTCTCCTTCCAGGAATTTTTATTACAGGCCCATTAGCAAAGGTGTCAAAGGCACAGGAACAAGGATGCACACCTTAAAAATACAGAGCTAAATGGAAAATCAGTTTGCTCTCACTTGTTTAAAAAGTGCAGAACTTTTAAGCTTATATACACATAAATCTCAAGGTCTTTAAGATTCCTTTTAAATCTAACATTCTAAGACCTATTTTCTATAGAAGGAGGGCCTCAGAATCCTTGAGGTTAGCTTTTAAATCTTAAACTTCTGCCTTGTTCTCCACAGTTCCTGGCCTGACCACATAGCAGGCATTCAATAACTACTTGTTTGTTTCCTAAGGAATCTAGAGATAGATTTTTCCTCATACCTCTGCTTACTCCTCCACTCCCTTCCCTCACCTATCATACCTAAGGACTTCATTCACTTCTGAGTTCCTAAGAAACACCCTATGTGTATATTTGTAGTAGCTATTCTTTCTTTTTTGCCATTCTCTTTTTATATTGATGACTTTTCCTCTTGTTTAGATACTAAATCTCCAGTTTCCTTGATTTAGTTAGTATATATGATTACAAATTAGTGATCTTAGGATTTTTTCTTGATGAAACCATCATTCAGTGAATATTTTTTGCTTTCCACTGTGCCAGGGATCTCAGTAATAAAATGACATAGTTCCCACTTTCCAGAAACTCAGAATCTTGTGAGGAGCGCAGACAAGTAAACAGGTAATTATAATACAGAGTGACTTGCACCGTAACAGGGATGTGTATCAGGGGCCACAGCATTGGAGAGGAAGATGTCACAGGTGTGCCTGGGAAAGTGAGAGATAACTGAAGAAAGTAGGCATGGTGTGTTCCTTTTCTATTGCTGCATAGTAAACTGCCACAGACTTAGTGACTTAAAACACCACATATTTATTAGCTCACAGTTCTGTAGATCAGAAATTTGCACAGGGACAAGACTGGGTTCTATACTCAGGGCATCACAAGGCTGAAATCAAGGTGTCAGTTGAAGGCCCTGGGAAAGACTGTTTTCCAGGGATTCTTGTTGGCAGAATTCAGTTCCTTTGTAGTTGCAGGATTAAGGTTCCGATTTCCTGGTCTTGCTTTAGGCTCTTAGGGGCCACTCACATTCCTTGCCATATGACCCCCTCCATCTTCAAAGCTAGCAATGGAGAATTTCATGCATGTCAAATCTCCCTCCCACATCAAATGTCTTATTTCCTCTTTTGTTACCAGCTAGGGAAAACTCTTCTTTTAAAGAGTCCATATGATTAGATCAGGCCTACCCCAAAAAATCTATTCCTAAAGTTGACTGTGTCACATAACATAGCCTAATCATAGGAGTAAAATCCATTATATTCACAGTGCCGATAGTTATGCAGGCTGTGAATACTAGTGGGCAGGGATCTTCAGGGATGTGTCAGAATCCTGCTTGTCACACAACATGAGCTGAAACTTGAATGGGGGTAGATATTCACTGAGAGAAGTAAGGATGGAAGAGTGGGCATCCAGGCAGAGCAAAGTGTGTACACACTTGCAAATGTGAGGGAATGTGCCCTGCCTGGGAATGGTGAGAGTTGCTGGTCACAGGGTGTTGGGAGAGATACGGGCAGGGGTGAAGCCAGGTAAGGAAAAGAGCCACGAGGAGATGAGGAAGGGCGTTGGAGCAGGCCAAAGAGCCAGGTCAGGGGACGAAGGTCTAAACCAGAGCTGTGGCCATGAAAATGATGTAAAAGTATAGGTTGGGTTGCATTCAGGTTTGATGAACACTTGGCCCAAAACAGCCTAAACAGGTTTATTTTCTCATGTAACAAAAATCCAGTAGATGGGTCCAAGGTTGGTTAGGGCCATGAATAGGCATCTCTGAAGTCAAAAGATGGCCACCTCTGCTCCAGACATCATGCTCTCCCACACAGAAAAGGGGGGAGATCTTCCCCATCTCTCTTTTTCTCTATCTCTTGTTTTAATAAATTTTTTACTTTAGAATAGTTTTTTTTTTTTTTTTTTTTTTGAGAGACTGGCTCTCACTACCTAATCTAGGCTGTACTCAAAACTCCTGGGCTCAAGCAACCCTCCAGAGTAGCTGGGGTTATAGGAGCATGCCACTGCACCCGGCTTTAGAACAGTTATAGATTACAGAAAAATTAAGAAGATAGTTCAGAGAGTTCCCATATACCTCCACACCCAGTTCCCCCTGTTTTTAAGATCTTATGTTGGTATGGTACATTTATCACAATTAGTGAACCAAGGTTGACACATGATCAATCATTAACTAAAGTCCATACTGTATTCAGATTTCCTCAGTTTTACCTAAAGTCCCTTTTTGGTTTTCAGATTCCATCCAGGATACCACACTACATTTAGTCATCATGCCTCCTTAGGTTCCTTTTGACTTGCCTCGGTTTTGATGACCTGGACGGTCTCAGTAGTACTGGTCAGGTATATGTATATATTGTTTTTGAGACAGAGTGTCACTGTGTTGCCCTGGCTAGAGTGCCATGGTGTCAGCCTAGCTCACAGCAACCTCAAACTCCTGGGCTCAAGCGATCCTCCTGCCTCAGCCTCCCGAGTAGCTGGGACTACTGGCATGTGCCACCATGCCCGGCTAATTTTTTCTATATATATTTTTAGTTGTCCAGCTAATTTCTTCCTACTTTTTTAGTAGAGACGGGGTCTCACTCTTGCTCAGGCTGGTCTCAGGACTCCTGAGCTCAAATGACCCACCCGCCTCGGCTTCCCAGAGTGCTAGGATTACAGGTGTGAGCCACCGCGCCCGGCCTGGTCAGATATTTTTATAGAGTATTCTTCAATTGTCATTTGTCTAATGTTTTCTCATAATTAGACTGAAGTTATGTGTTTTAGGGAAGACTCAAGGGTGATACCTTAGTCCATTTTGTGCTACTGTAACAGGATACCACAGACTAGGTAATTTATAATGAACAGAAATTTATTTCTCACAGTTCTGGAGGCTGGGAAGTCCAAGATTAGGGGGCTAGCATCTGGCGCAGTCCTTCTTGCTGTGTCATCCCATGGTGGAAGGGAAAAGAGAGGGTAAGAGAAAGTGCAGGAGGGCAAGGGGGCAAACTCAGCTTTTATAAGGAACCCATTCCCGAGACATTAATCCATTCGTGAGGTGCCCTCATAATCCAAACACTTCTGCATAAGGGATCAAGTTTCCAGCATATGAACCTTGGGGGACACATTCAAACCATAGCAGGTACATACTGTCCACATGATTTATGACTGTTGGTGTTGATCACCTGGCTGAGGTGGGGTTTCTCAGGTTTCTCCATGGTAGAGTTACTCTTTCTCCCTCTTCCCATACTGTGCTCTGCAAGGAAGTGACTATGCACAGTCCACACCTAAGGAGTGGGGAGTTATGCTCCACCTCCTCAAGTACAAAGTCTCCCCATAAACTACTAGGAATTCTTTTGCACAGGATATTTGTCTGTTCTCCCCCATTTACTTACTTATACAATCAGTTATTTATATCAATACAGACTCACAAACATATATTTTATACTTTGGGTTATAATCCAATGCTGTGTTTTTATTTTTTTACTTTTGGATTTTATTTATTTATTTGCTCCAGTTTTTCCACATTTGGTCATTAGGAGCTTTTTCAGTTGGTTCCTGTGTCCCTTTAAGACACTCCATTAGCCGGGCATGGTGGCACATGCCTGCAGTCCCAGCTACTCGGGAGGCTGAGGCAGGAGGATGGCATGAGCCCAGGAGTTTGAGGTTGCTGTGAGCTAGGCTGACGTCACAGCACTCACTCTAGCCCAAGCAACAGAGTGCAATTCTGTCTCAAGAAGAAAAAAAAAAAAGATACTCCAGTCGTTGTGGAGTTTGTTTTGTTTTGTTTCTGAGCATGCCCTTACCTCTGGCACCAACGCTCCAGGTTCATCTTGAGTGTCTCCTGCCCCAGTCCTAGAATCAGCCATTTCTCCAGAGGGCCCTGGTTCCTTTTGTTGGAGAATGATATTAGAAACTAAGATCTGGGGCTAGCTGTGTTCAGGATTCTCTTTTCATTAAGGAGAATCTTTGCCATTAGACTCTCCTCCCTCCACCCCCCAAGCAAACTGCTCCTTTTGCTTTTGCAGCAAAGTCAGTTGTAAATCGCACTAGCTGCTAATTGTGCCCCCAAGTTCATTCTTCTCTTTCCATCAGAATAAAATTTTAGCTGAGCACATAGGACCCCCATAATAAAACTTTTATTCCCCAGCCTCCCTTGTAGCTAAATGTGGCCAAGAGACTAAGTATTGGCAAAAGGGAGATCAGTGAAGTATCCATCCTGAACCTTCATTGAGGAACCCTTCCTTAAGAGACCACTGCTTTTATCTTGTGTCTTTATTCCTCTCTCCATCTTCTGTGCCAGAGTACCAGCAGACTGTCTTGGAGAGTGAGGACATGGGGCCACACACAGGATGGTGGCTCTGAGAGCAGAACTCCTTCTCCAGTCTGGACCACTGGGCTCTGTACTTTTGCATGAGAGAAGTAAATGGCTGTTCCTGGTAGCTGAATGGGCTCCTAACAGCATCTCGTTGGCTGGAGCTGGGTTGCGTGGCCGTGCTTGCACAGGAGTTGGGATCACTGTGCTGCCCCTGGGATGGACACACTGACCAGCCACATTTGAGCAGAAGCTGGCTCAGCATACAGGGGATGGAGGACGTGTGGCCGTTGCATAGCAGCCGATGTTTCTGCCCTGAGAGGCTCATGAAGAGGCAGGACTTGGGGAGCCAGAGCCGACTGAAGGCACACCCTGTGACCTGTGTGTACATGTTACCTGCAGGGCAGTTGGAATGGAGACCCGCTTTACTGTTACACGAGGCAAAACATTGGTAAATCTTATTTTTAAAAGTGTACAGTGTTTACAGAAAAGTCATTTGTGGGATTTTTGCTGTTTGGAATTCCTACGAAGTTTTCTGAGTGTGGAAAGAAGCAATGTGACAAGATTTCTGATAGAGGATTGTCTTGAATTCTCTATGATCTTGATCATCTCTAATTCTTTTATCCATCAGTTGCTAGAACAAAACTTACTTTAGAGTTATATATTACATATTTATCATTATCATACATATTTACAATAGAAAATATGGAAAACACAAGAAAAAAGAAAAAGCTGCCATTCTTTCTGTAGTTATGTTTCCATCCAGTTTATTCTCCATGTGTAAACTTTTGTTGTGCCAGTGATTTTTATTTTTTGATACATTTTCAGATAGTTTTTAGGTCATTGTGATCTGTCCTATACATGCTATTTTACATCCCACTTTTTTCACTTAACACAGCATAAGTAGTTTTGCTTTTTTCCCTTATAGTTACAAATAATTTTGAGTAGCTGGAGTGGAGTATATATTTAAAATTTTAACTTCATTCTAATTCTTTCTTCAGTGAAAGATGTTGCTCCCTCCATGGGGTGTCTCTGCCGTGTTATAACACAGCAAGAAGACCCTCACCACATTCAGCCCCTCACTCTCAGACTTCCCAGCCTTCAGAACTTTGAGCCAAATAAACTTGTATTGTTTATTTTAAAAAAAGAAAGAAAAGAAAGAAAGATGCTCATAAAATGGACATAGAACTCATGATAACTTCTTGGCTGCTAGAGAATGCAATAGAGAGATCTCTTTTTGCCCTTAGTGTTTGAGGCAGGATAACAAAAACCACATAAACACCAATGCTAACTTAAATCTGACACATGAAACTCACACACTTGCCGTGGAATAACCATCCCTTTCCCGCTCCTGTAGCCCTCATCACAGCATTACCCAATTTTGCTCACTTTCATGATACAAAGCAAAAGAATATTACAGATTACTGTTGAGGGAGAACTCCTATTTAGGAAAAGGACTGAAAGGTCCTTAAATTATATGAGTTATCTAAGTTAGTGCCTTCCAGACCTTTATAGTAAAAGATAGGCTTTGAGACATCAAATAACACACACAAAAAAAAACATAAATAGACAAATAGAACTGTATTAAACCAAAAAGTTTCTGTATAGCAAAGGAAACCAGCAAGAAAGTAAAGAGATAACTTGCTGAATGGGAGGAAATACTTGCCAACCACTCATCTGACAGGGAACTAACATCCAGAGTATATAAGGAACTCAACAGTAAAAAAAAAACCAAATAATCCCATTTAAAAAGTAGACAAAGGACATGAATAAACATTTTTTAAGAAGACATACAAATGACCAAGCGTGGTGGCTCATGCCTGTAATCCTAGCACACTTTGGGAGGCCGAGGTGGGCGGATTGCTCAAGGTCAGGAGTTCGAAACCAGCCTGAGCGAGACCCCGTCTCTACCAAAAATAGAAATAAATTAATTGACCAACTAAAAATATATATACAAAAAATTAGCCGGCATGGTGGCGCATGCCTGTAGTCCCAGCTACTCGGGAGGCTGAGGCAGGAGGATCGCTTGAGCCCAGGAGTTTGAGGTTGCTGTGAGCCAGGCTGACGCCACGGCATTCATTCTAGCCTGAGCAACAAAGTGAGACTCTGTCTCAAAAAAAAAAAAGAAGGCATACAAATGAACAATAAGTATATGAAAAAATGCTCAACATCACTATTCATTAGGGAAATGCAAATCAAAACTACAATGAGATATCATCTCACCCCAGTTAGAACGCCTATTATCAAAAAGACAAAAAATAACAGATGCTGGCAAGAATTCGGAAAAATGGGGAACTCTTATATGCTGTTGTATATGTAAATTAGTACAGCCATCATGGAAAACAGTATGGATATTTCTCAAAAAACTAAAAATAAAACTACCATATGACCCAGCAGTCTCACTTCTGTGTATTTATCCAAAGGAAAGGAAATCAGCATATCAAAGGGATACCTGTGCCCCCATGTTTATTGCAGCACTGCTCACAATAGCAAAGATACAGAATCAACCTAAGTGTCCAGCATGTGTGAATGGATAAAGATGATGTGGTACATATACACAATGGAGTAATACTCAGCCATGAAAAACAATGAAATCCTGTCGTGTGCAGCAACATGAATGGAACTGAAGGTCATTATATTAAGTGAAATAAGCCAGGCACAGAAATACAATTGTCACATATTCTCTCACTCATACATGGAGCTAAAAAAATTGACCCCATGGAGGTAGAGAGTAGAATGATAGTTACGAGGGGCCGAGGGTGTATGGTTTGGGGGAGTAGGCAGATGAAGAGAGGTTGGTTAGTGTAATGTTCCCCAACCTTTTTGGCACCAGGAACTGGATTCATGGGAGACAATTTTTCTACAGACTGGGGGGATGGGGATGGGGCTGGGGCTGGGGGTCAGGGAGGATGGTTTCAGGAGGATTCAAGCACATGACGTTTACTGTGCAGTCAAACCTCTCTGCTAACGATAATCTGCATTTGCAGCCGCTCCCAGCACCAGCATCACCGCCTCAGCTCCGCCCAGATCACCAGGCATTAGGTTCCCTAAGGAGCGCAACCCAGATCCCTCGCATGCGCACTTTACAGTAGGGTTCGTGCTCCTATGAGAATCTGGTGCCACCCCTGGTCTGACAGGAGGCAGAGCTCAGGTGGTGATTCAAGCGATGGGGAGCAGCTGTAAATATAGATGAAGCTTCCCTAGCTTGCCCACTACTCACCTCCTGCTGTGCCGCCCAGTTCCTTACAGGCCATGGACCAGCACCGGTCCACAGCCTGGGGGATGGAGACCACAGAGTTAGTGGGTACAAACATACAGTTAGAAGGAATAAGTTCTAGTGTTCAACAGCACAATAAGGTGACTACATTTAACAATAATATATTGTATATTTCAAAATAGCTAGAAAAGAAGATTTGAAATGTTCCCCAAAGAAATGATAAATGTTCAAGATGATGGATATGCTAAATACTCTGATCATTGTACATGTAGGCATATATCAAATATTATATGTAGCCCATAAATGTACAAGTATTATGTATCAATAAAAATCAACTTGATAACAATGGTAATCTGTTTTTTCAGAAGTTGTCTGTCTGCTTGGGACCTCTGGAAGGCCTGGTGGACTGCTCTTCACTTCCAGTTTCTGCATCTTGATACCAAGATGAGAATTATCTGTTTCTTTCCTTCCTCCTATTTATATTATTTTCTTATTCTCTTCCTGTTCCTCTTTTTCCTTCTCTCTTTGCTTTTTCCCCACCCTCTTTAATTTGCCATGTTTTATTTTTCACAAATATCCTCAGAAGTAGGTCAGCAGAATTATTATTCTCATTTTGCATATGAGGAAAAAGTGACAGAGGAAGGTCAGGTGGCTGTCACCAGGCCCTGAGGACACCTAGTGGAGCAGCCAGACTCGACTTCAGAGCCCATCTGGCAGGCTCTTCCTCTCAGTTTCAGGGTCCCTCCCAACTGCCTAATGCCCCAGGGTGCCACTCCCTGTCTTGCCAACTCCAGCTGCCCCTTCCAGAACCGGGGGCTGTACCCCTACAGTCAGCCTTGCCATTCTTGAAACCACTGGCTTCCTTGAGCTGAGCCCTCCCAGGCCCTCTCCAGGCTGGTGTGCAGGACTCTGAGCCCTCAGGGCACCATGGAGGGGTTCACACCACAGAAACGAATGAAGTTAGTCATCTTCATCCTGTGGCTCCTCATGCCCCTCATCCCGGCATGACGCAGCTTCTTCCACAGCTGGTTCCTGCAAGGCCAGTCACAAGGGTTGGCATTGCTTCTTTGTCATAGGCCAGCCTGGCTGAAGCCCAGCAGGGCAGGGTCTGTGTCCCAAGAGGTGGCAGTGCCATTCATCCTGGGCCCTGGGAAGACCAGTCTCAGCAGGGCTCCCTGTGGCCTCACATTGTCTGCCTTGCTACCTCTGGGCCAGGCGGCTCTGGCCAGGCTGGACCACAAAGAGCACGAGAGTTGGCAGAGATTTCTGCTCGCCCTTGCCACCCTCACTCTCTGAGGCTGAGGCTCAGCCTCTCATCTGGAAGACAGAAAAATGCATCCTGTCCCCAGGACTGTGGTGGAGGCCACCGGGGTGAGGTGTGTGAGAGCCACTAGAGACAGACAGCACTTGTCCCCACCTCTGCTCACAGGAGGCCCAGCACCACCTCTCTGGTTCTTGGAGTTCTCTGCAGTCATTGGCTCTCTGAGAAGCCAGCCAGCTACAGCCCTGAGGACAGCCGAGGTCTGTGCAAGGAGAGATCTGTGCAGTTTTCCATCACTGTGGGAGACACAGTTCACCATATGGAGCTCCTGACACCAGCCTTTCTCTGCCTCCCCAGCACTATCCCTGACCCTCCACCATCCTAGAGAACCAGCCTCTCAGGTTCTCTGCCATGGAAGTAATCCACGCCAAGGCAAAAAGAAGCTGAAAGATGCCACCCCCAGGAGGTTATAAATCTGTGAAATTTACAGAGGCATTTCTAAGTGGAGAAATTGCTCTGCCTGGTCAGACTGACCCTAGTTCTACCACCCTGAGAACCAAAGACTGAGCTCCGTGCATTTATAATTCCTGCTGTCCTCAGCCTGATCACACTGCGTCCCAGGCTTACAAGTCCAATCTCAAGGCTTTGCCTTGTACCTCACCTGCTGCCTTAAAAACCTGCAGCCTGGAGCGGCCTAGAAGCTATGACATCCCAGTTCCAATGAGTTCATCTTGCACCTGAACTTATTCCAGAATGCCATTCTTCACTAAACGGAACCAGGGCTGGTGCAGAAGTTGAAGAGCTTGGAACATCTTACACCTGTGAGTGAGGAAGTACCAAAAAATCAATGGAGCATGTATAAAGACATAGGAGTCAGTTTAATAGGCCTGCTTCTGGCCAACTCCAGGACACATTGAACATCAAAACAATAATAGTAATAGATTATGTCCCTCAGGATAAAATAATCCTAGAGCACATAATGACATAAACATAGGAAGAGGGGAAAGCTCTCCCTAACAGAAGAATGTAACACCAAATGTGAAAGGAATGGTGGAGTTGGGAATTCACAATAGATATTCGAACCAGTGGATGAAAGCTTGATTAAGAACAGGATTCTTACTCTCAAAAGTCTCTCCTCTCAAATCAGTAATTACATAAGGAAAGTAGTAACACTTTACCAAAGAAAAGCCCTGAAGACCTGCAGCTTAAGCTTGCAGAAATCACCTGGTGAAATGCCCTCCAACAGTGACCTATGTGCATGGTGTGCTCAGCAACGTGTGCTCAGTGTCAGTCTATTCTGCCAGCTACAAACCTCAGTGTAGCTGAATTCAGCCCATATGCGGTAATTATTTACCAAGGAATTATTTACCTTTCAACTAAAAAAAATACCTATTTTGTATGACTGACCATCTGGTCTAGAGGTCATGGCTTTGAATTTCTGCCAATTCAATTTCTGCCCAAGGGGGGCACAGAGGAGGGGCAGGGAAAGGACGGCAGCCCAAGAAGTGGGCCCCACTGTTCATCTGTAAAATGGGGATAATAATGATACCCATTGAATGAAACACCAATTCCATTGCTGGTATTTCCTCAGGAGAAATGAAAACCTATGTCCACACGGAGACTTGTATGTATGTTCCTGTCTGCTTTATTCATAATAGCCCCAAACAACCAAAATACTCATCAGCTGCTTAGCAGAGAAAGGAACAAACCAATGATAACATGAATGAATTCCTGAAGCATTGTGCTAAGTGAAAGAAGCCAAACAAAAGACTACGTCTTATATGTTAATAAATCCCATTTATATGAAACTCTAGTAAAGGCAAAATCTATTGCCAGGGGCCAAGGGTGGAGGACTGTCCACAAAGGGGCAGGAAGGGATTTGCGGGGGCGATGCGAAAGCCCTGTCACGAACATTGTGTTGGTGGTTCAAGACAATGCTGTTGTCAAAACTCATCGAACTGTACACCTGAACTGGGTGAATTTCGCTGTATGCAAATTAAACTTCAGTAGAGCTGATTTGAAAATACCTACATTACTGTGTCATTGTGAGGACTGCTGAGGTAATATATGTTCTGTCCGAAGTTCAGTGCCTGCCCTAAGAGGAATCCCAAAAGAATAACCTTGCCCGCGGTAGCCTCGGGCAAGAGTGCGGGCAGCAGGCCTGGCGGGCCACGCCGGCCAGGCCTGCGGCTGCGGCGAGTCACCAGGCGACGCAAGGCGCAGTGAGAAAAGTGCGGGTGGAGGAGGGGCTGGCGCTGGCGCGCAGCAGCGGAAGCCCCACCCCCGGACGCTGCGCTCCGCGGAGCCTGGCGGCAGCCTGGCGGCCCCGCCTTCCCACGGCCGGCCGCGCGCCGGCCCAGCGGAGGGGCGCAGAGGGGGGCAGGGAAAGGCCGGCAGCCCAGGAGCGGGCCTCGCGGTTACCGAGGGGATCGCAGCTGTTTATGTATGTTATGTCTTGTTGCTAGGCAACCAGGTCTCGGCTGGGCGTGGGCCGGGAGGAGGGGTCTCTGTCGCGGCGGGTCGGGTGACTCATCCCTGCGCACTCTGGCCTCTGGGCCTAGGGTAGCGGCCTCGCAGGTTTCAGGTTGGGGCTGCGGCCAGGCCCTCCTTGTCCCGCAATTCGGGCTGGGGCAGCGCCAGCTCCCCTCTTCTCACCTGGCCCAGAAGAGGTAGCGGAAGGAGCTTGGGGTCACGGAGCTGGCGACCACCCCTTGGCTCGTTCGTTCTGCGACCTGCCATCTGTGTAGCCTTGTGCAAGTCAAACCTCTCTGACGTCAAAAGGAGAATATGAGATCATGTTGGAGCGAGTCCTTACATTAACTTACACACACCCTCTCCCCTCCACTTGACAGTGAGCAAACTGCAGCCCAGGGCAAAGTTCACTAACTCCCCAAAGTCACCTAATTTGTACACGGAAGAGGCAGGATTTGAACCTGCGTCTCTATGGGTCAGAGCCCTGCATGTCATATCGCCATAACACCCCGCCTCATATACTTAACATGCCTAGCCCACTTGCCCGGTGCAGGGCCTCTGCGTTCTTGGGCTTAAAGCCTGATGGGATTCTCTGGGGCAGCCTCTCAGAAGATGGAGGGGTGTAGAATTATTCATGTCAGAGTTATCAGAATTTTTCAATTGGAAAAGTGTGGGATGGTCCCAGGGAATGGGGTACAGCTGCCTTCCTGCCTGGCCTGCCCACCACTGTCAGCCATTCACTTGAAACTGCAGCTTTTCTCTTACACACCTGGGGCACCTAACTGCGTGTCTTCCAAGCACTGTGCAGTGTCAGATTTGGACTACCAGATTCCTTATGGCTATAGGAATCTCTCATCTGAGTCAAGGCACCCAACTCTGCCATGTCACTGAAGCACTTCAGTGACTCCCCGTTGCTCAGAGAGCTAAATTTAAATTCCATTGTATGTTGCTCCATACTTTAAGAGGTGTAATAAATAAATTCCACTGTACGACAGGCAAACAAGGCTTCCACAGAGTGAATGCGGTGTTGTAAAGTTTTAAGTTGAATATGTGTCTGTATGGTAGGTCATGGTGTAAAATATATATGCATTTGTGCTGTGGGTGGCCATCGGGAGAGTTTGAAAGCCCCAATCTAGACGGTCTCTTCAGCTGCTGTCCCTCTGAGTCCCAAGGATTTCTTGACTGGGAGCCACCGTGCAGATGGAGCCCTGCGCGGACACCCACTGCCCGTGAATGTGGCCAGCTGCAGGCCACCTCAGTCCATCCACATCCCCTCCACTGGTCTTCAGTTTGAGAAAAGGAAACACAAATGTAGACATTGCTAAAGAAAAAATAGAAAAGTAGATTTTTTCTGCTTTCTTACTATTTTTAAGATAATAGATGCTTATAGTTACAAAATAAATAAATAAAACTCTCCCCCTCGCTCCCAACTCCAACCCCCAGGTGTACATCCCAGAGGCAAATTGCCTGTGCCAGTCCAGAGGCCCAGCTTCCCACAGGCGCTCCAGCTAAGGATCCAGCAGCCAAGCAGCCCTCCCTGGGGCCTCCCTCGCAGAGGCTGTTTCTCCCCTTGCCTCTCCCCTGCGCCCTGCAGTTTGCCCTTCTCCTTCCCATGCTGCCCTGCCTGCCAGCCCAGTTCTGCATTTTCATTTAACCAGGTTAAAACGGACTGGTGTCCAGATATCACTTTCTTGATACCATTCTCCAATAAAACAAGCCAGGGCTCTTAGAGAAATGGTTGATTCCATGGCTGGGGGAGGGAAAGCACCAGATGAGACTGGAGCATCTTGTACCAAATGGTAAGAAGGGCTCAAAGCAGGACAGAGAGTGAGTGTCCAAGGACACAGGAGCCAACTCAGAGGAGCTCCCAGTAGGCAAATCTGGCACAATCTGAGCAAAAATAAGCAAACACAATGGATTATAACCCATAGAATAAAAAAATATCCGAGTCCACATAGATATAAAAGTAACAGAACAAATGAATAGGGGAAAGAATTCTTTTTTACAGTAAAATTCCTATTAATAAATGTAGAAGAAATGATGTACACAGAAAATCGCCATTTGAGGCCGGGCGAGGTGGCTCACGCTTGTAATCCTAGCTCTCTGGGAGGCCGAGGCAGGCAGATCGTTTGAGCTCAGGAGTTCAAGACCAGCCTGAGCAAGAGGGAGACCCCATCTCTACTATAAATAGAAAGAAATTAATTGGCCAACTAATATATATAGAAAAAATTAGCCGGGCATGGTGGCGAATGCCTGTAGTTCCAGCTACTCGGGAGGCTGAGGCAGGAGGATTGCTTGAGCCAGGAGTTTGAGGTTGCTGTGAGCGAGGCTGACACCACGGCACTCACTCTAGCCTGAGCAATAAAGCAAGACTCTGTCTCAAAAAAAAAAAAAAAAAAGAAAATCGCCATTTGGTAAAAAACCACAATAAGAACTATTGAAGACAAGATTCATCAATGGGTCCTAAAATTAATAGGCAAAAATATGATGAGAAACAGGATATTTACGTAGTCCCAAAGCATCTCCACACAGGGCATTAATACAAGGGGAAAATAGTAACTATATGGTGGAGAAACTTCAGGGAGACACCACTTTAACCAAGTGGTCAAAGTTAACACAACCAGGAGTTAGACACATCAACATACGTTGAGACAGTGTCCTGAGAGGGTACATCACTCCTGTGACATTCTTGCCAAAAATGCACTTCAATCTAACACTGGGAAACATCAGACAAATCCAAAGTGAGGAATGTCCTATAAAAGAACTGGCCAGAATGTCAGAGTGACAAGCAGAGACTGAGGAAGTACCCCAGATTGGAGGAGACTAAGTGCCATGTGGGATTCTGAATGGGACCCTGGAGTGGACATAGGGTATTAGTGGGACCCCGGGGGAATGGCAGAGAGAGGTGCAGGCCCAGCTGGGACAGCCCCATCTAAAGGTTCTTCTTCCCTCCCCACTGCCCTCAGAGGTACACCCCCTGCAAACTACAGCAGAGCCTCTGAGATCAGAGGTAATGCAGGCTTCAGGATCAGCAGGATCCAACAACCTTGGCTCTGTTTCTCTTAGACGCCTTAGTTATACCATCCCCTGGGGCTGTCTTTGTCCTCAGGCTGCTTCCTTCATGATAGCTGTTCTGGGCTCCACATTTGCTCACCACACTGGAGGAAAGTAGGGCTCTTCTGGGGGTTCTCTCTTTATTTTATTTTTGGAGACAGAGTCTCACTCTTGTTGCCCCGGCTAGAGTGGCGTGGCGTCAGCCTAGCTCACAGCAACCTCAAACTCCTGGGCTCAAGCAATCCCTCTGCCTCAGCCTCCCGAGTAGCTGGGACTACAGGCATGTGCCACCATGCCCAGTTAATTTTTTCAATATATTTTTAGTTGGCCAATTAATTTCTTTCTATTTATAGTAGAGACGGGGTCTCGCTCTTGCTCAGGCTGGTCTCAAACTCCTGAGCTCAAACATTCTGCCCGCCTCGGCCTCCCAGAGTGCTAGGGTTATAGGCGTGAGCCACTGCGCCCGGCCTGGGGGGTTCTCTCTTTAAAGAATAAGTCTTCTTTCCCCCAGAAGACTCCAAACTTAGCCATATATTCCACTGGCCTGAATTTCATTATAAGCCCATTCCTGAAGTAATCCTTGGGCCAGAAAATGCCATCTACAGAGTGGCAAGAGCAATGGGATCACACTCTGATAAATCAGGTTCCACGACCCCCACTTGGCGGTGCAGGCAAGGGTCTGAGCACGGGCCAGCCCTCCCTGAAGCACAGGTGGAAGGGAAGATGCCTGAACAAGACTGAGGTGCTGCTAGGAAGGAAGGAGGGAGAATGGAAGCTGGGTAGGCAACAGTGTGCACGACTCCAAGCGATGTTTTCCTTTGTAATAACTGCCTTCCTTGGTGCAGTTTTCCTGCTCCCTGGTGGAGCAGAGGACCTGCCTGGCAGCAGGCATGGACTTTCCGTTCCTCCTGGTGGTTATATTTCTTATTCTCAATGAGCCAAAGTCATATTATCCTTTATACAGCAGGTTCTCGGAAGTGATTTAGAAAAAGCCAGATCAAATGTGGGAGCCCAGACAGTATCAACTTTCTCCCTCGTGGAGAGAGGGATCCACAGTGGCAGCCACTAGCTTAGAGACTTTTCAGGTCCCTTGCCCTAGAGGAGGCTCCTCCTGGGCCTTCTGAGCCCCAGGATTCTGAGACTTTTAAGTAATCCCCAACGGCTCACATCATTAAACACTGACACCCAACAAATTCACAATCTTATTTTTGTTGCTTTGCATTATTCTCCAACAGCTTTAAAATCTTCTCCAGGACAGAGTCCAACTCCCAGCTTAATTACATTTGGTTTTAGGTGTCTTATCTCCCCCCAAAGATTTCCAATGCTGTGGGGATAGGGACTGAAGAGGCACTAAGACATGGCTGCACACCGTCCACTTCCCTGGGCAGGGTCAAGTCTTGGGACAGACCTGCCTGCTGATAACATGGCCCCAGACACAGTTGTTGAGAGGATGTCCTCTGCTGCCAGAGTCTCCGAGACTACCTGCAGACTAGGCACTGGTAGACCATGTCAGAGGGGACAATCTACGGGAGGGCAGCTGACTTTCAACTTGGAAGTTCTGATGAATGATCAGTCAGTGGGGCTACCCAGAAAGCTGTGTTAGGAATTCAGAGGCTTCACCCACTTGTGTGGGGTGGACCCTGGGGGTGGGAGGTGGGTGTGGGTGTGGGGGGTTGGGTTGCTGAGGCTAGCAGATTTCTGCAGGACTGAGGATTGGGGAGGGGGTGGGCAGCATTACTGTGGGTCACACTTGTTCCTGACACCTT